TTTGGAAACGAAAACCATTAAATGACACTAAATTTGGTATTGGGTGAAGGAATATGGCTGGAATCAAGAACTTTGTTATTTAGGCCTCTGACGTTATCAGCAGTTAAAATATGGACATAGTTTTGAAAATGCATCCTATATTTGGAAGAAAACTACTTAGTAATACTAAATTTGGTATTGGGTAAAAGAATAAGGCTGGAATCCCGAAATTTCTCATTTAGGACTCTGTTGGTGTCTGTGGTTAAGATATGTAGGCAGTTTTGAAACGCGCCCTGTACAAAAACTACTAAATAACACTAAATTTGGTATTGGGTAAAGGAATGGGGCCGGAATCCTGAAACTTGCTGTTCAGGGGTCTGTTGGTGTCGATGGTTAAGATATGGAGGTCGTTTTAGAAAGGCGTCCTGTATTTGTACAAAAACTACCAAATGACACTAAATTTGGAGTTGTGTGAAGGAATAAGTCTGGAATCCCGAAATTTGTTATTTAGGTCTCTGATGTTGTCAGTAGTTAAAATATGGAGGTAGTTTTGGAAATGCGCCTATATTTGTACGATAACTTCTAAATGACACTAAATTTGGTATTAAAAAAGGAGTAAGGCTGGAATCACGAAATTTGTTATTTCGGTCTCTGATGTTGTCAGCAGTTAAAATATAGAGGTGGTTTGAAAATGCGTCCTATATTTGTAAGAAAATTACTAAATGACACTAAATTTGGTATTAAAAAAAGGAATAAGGCTGGAATCCCGAAATTTGTTATTTAGGTCTCTGATGTGGTCAGCAGTTAAAATATAAAGGTAGTTTTGGAAATGAGTCCTACATTTGTACAAAAACTACTAAATGAAAGTGAATTTGGCATTGAGTAAAGGAACAAGGCTGTAATCCCGAAATAGTTAGTTAAGATATTTGTACAAAATCTACTTAATAATGCTAAGTTTCGTGTTGGGTGAGGGAATAAAGCTGGAATCCCTTAATTTTTTATTAGGGCTCTTTTGGTATTTGTGGTTAGCATTTGGAGGTTGTTTGGAAATGCGTCCTATATTTGTACGAAAACCATAAAATGAAACTAAATTAGGTATTGGTGAAGGAATATGGCTGGAATCCCGAACTTTGTTATTTAGGCCTCTGATGTTATCAACAGTTAAAATATGGAGGTTTGGATATGAGTCCTACGTTTGTACAAAAACTACTAAATGACACTAAATTTGGTATTGAGTAAAAAGTAAGGCTGGAATCCGAAAATTTGTTATTTAGGTCTTTGTTGTTGTCTGTGGTTAAGATATGGAAGTGGTTTTGGAAATGCAGCCTATATGTGTACGAAAACTACCAAATGACACTAAATTTGGTATTGAGTAAAAGAAATAGGGTTGGTATCCAGAAATTTTTTATTTAGAACTGATGTTGTCAGCAGTTAAAATATGGAGGTAGTTCTGGAAATGGCTCCTACATTTGTACAAAAATTGCAAAATGATACTCAATTCCGTATTGGAAAAAGGAATAAGGCTAGAATTCCGAAATTTGTTATTTAGGTATCTTTTGTTGTCAGCGTTTAAAATATAATGGTGGTTTGGAAATGCATCCTATTTGTACGAAAGTTACTAAATGACACTAAATTTGGAATTGGGTGAAATAATAAAGCTGGAATATCGATATTTGTTACTTAGGTTTCTGACGCTGTCAGCAGTTAAAATATGGAGGTAGTTTTGGAAATGGGTCCTATATTTGTACAAAAATTGCAAAATGATATTCAATTCGGTATTGGGTGGTGGAAAAAGGTTAGAATTCCCGAAATTTGTTATTTAAGTATATTTTGTTGTCAGCATTGAAAATATAAGGGTGGTTTGGAAATGCGTCCTATAGTTGTAAGAAAACTATTTAATAACACTAAGTTTGGACTGGGTAAAGAAATAAGGCTAGAGTCCCGAATTTTTTTTTATTTAGGTCTCTGTTGATGTCTGTGGTTAAGATATGGAGGTAGTTTTGGAAATGCATCCTATATTTGGAAGAAAACTACTTAATAATACTAAATGTTGCATTGGTTGGAGTAATAAGGCTCGAATCCCGAAATATATTATTTAGGTCTCTGTTATTGTGGTTTGGAGAATGCGTCATATATTTGTACGAAAGCTACTACATGACACTAAGTTTGGTATTGAGTAAAAAATAAGGCTGGAATCCGGATAGTTGTTATTTAGATGTGTTTACACCAAACGTGCATCCCTAAACTTTCCCCTTTCTTTTGATTAACCAATATCTTTCTAAAATGCCAAGGTTATTCTAGTGTAATAACGGCAAGATACTTGTACTAAAGTAATCAGTTTACAGCGAGTATACCGGCCATGTTGAAGGGACAATTTCCTTTTTTATCTGTCTTGTTTTTTGCTAATCTTGGAAGATACCACACCTGTCCAGTGAATAATCAATCTTACGGCATCCAAAATAATAAAGATACTCTCCAACACTGAGTATTCTAACACTTGATTATTTTATTTTTCTGGTGCTCTGTTTGGTTCATTTTCTTCATCAATTTGTGCAAGCTACGAGAACAAATATACGTACATATATTTGCTTCTTGTTTTGGCTCTCCATTACACGGTCTCTGAAATTCGTCAGTGAACTCCCACGCTCCAATTCAGCAATATATGCGTGAACATTTTGGTCCTAACGAGCCGGATTAGAGACAGGACTGTAAGGAGAGATTTCAGCTTCACATAAAATTGATGCTCACTGGTATGTTTGGTTCCTTCGCTAGTTGGATTTTCAAGTGAGATCAGTTTGGTTTTTGTCACACAACACGGTGTTACAAAATTATTATTAAAAAGATAACCTAAAGTTGCCGGTAAACTTGGAGAAAACCCTTAAAGTTGCTGGTGAACTTGGATCAAATACCCTAAAGTTGCCGGTAAACTTGGACAAACCCCTAAATTTGCTGGTAAAAGTGGGAAAAACCGCAAAAAATTGAATTTTGTTCCAGAGAAGTGCCGACGGCAGAGCATAACAAGTAAAAATTACAATCTTGTAATCCGCAGTAAGTTCCCCAAAAGCTGATTAAAGTTTAAAGTGGCAGACGGTGAATCTAAATACGGTCATTTTATCCAAAAATTTCGAAAATCATAATAATATTAAAAAAAATATATAAAAAAATTCACAGTTTACACAAGCCTTTGCTAGATGTAAAATACTTTTGTTTGACAGTGTTTAACACGCTCCTCAAAAACGTGGTTTTGTTATTTGGTATGTTCAAACCAATATATCGAACAAATGCACATGTTATTAACATAGGTGATCCAACATCAATGTTAGTAACACTCCACTGACTGCCGCTCAAGTCATTCCTCATATTGGCATTTATGCGCATGTCTGTTGAGAGTACTGCTTCGCTCATCCACCTGGTTAATCTGAGTTTCAGCACATGCCTTTCTCTTAAGTCCGCTGAGCAACGAATCACAACACAAGTCTCTTTGTCCCACATATGCGCATGCCGTTCAGAGTTGGACAACACTCATCAAACCAGTTTCTCCTAACTCTTCACGCACATTTCTCTTGCGCCCGCTGAGAATTTAAGCGCTCTTGTATATTGAGTGCTAGTGGCATAGTCAGCAACAGTTCATTTTGCCTAGTATGTTGTGTGCTGCGTTCGTTCTCTTTGAGTGGACTTCACTGGTTGGCTGATTGCCTAGCATGTTTTGTGCTGGTCTCTTTATGTGGATTTCTCTGTTTACTTATCTCATGTAAATGGTTTGCGCGTACGTGTATGTGCGTAATAACAACAGAGAATAAACAATGATAAGTAAGTCACACGTGTCTGGCGATCTCCATCAAAATCAATACAAATAAGAAACAAGCAGTTGGTTCAATGTTTTGTTTCCATTTTGTACCCTCCGCCAGACAATCTGTCGGGTTTGTTTACATTTTTTGCGATATCCCATAGATAGTTCGTCAACAGATGGACTGACACAGTGGTTTGAAGCAGTCTTTAGTCTTTTTATTTTTATATCAGAATTTTTACTTTTATTTATTTTATTTTTTTGATTTTCTTAAATTGCAATTCAAAATTTTAAATATCTTTTAATGTCCTAATATTTCTTTTTTATTTTCTCTCAATATTTTTGTAATTTTAAATTTATGTTTTTCTATAATGTTTCAATTTTTTCCTCGAAACAATTTTATTTTAATATTTTTTAGATTTTGTTCACATTAAACTCACAATTTTATAATTTTTATAATTCTTCTCAGTTTTTTTATTTCTATTCTTGAAATTTATTTTCTCAATATTTTCCTCTGATTAAACTCACAATTTTATAATTTTTATAATTCTTCTCAGTTTTTTATTTCTATTCTTGAAATTTATTTTCTCAATATTTTCCTCTAATTTTTATTTATTTTTCGATTTTGTCGAACAACATTTTATATTTCCAAATATTTTTATTTTCTATTTATTTCAATATTTTTTGATTTTCAAAATATTATTATATTTTATAGTTTTCAACTGTTTTCTATTTTTCTCTCATTTTTTCCATTTTTTCTAAAATTTTTTTATAGGCATTTTTAATTTTAATTCAATTTAAGTCTTTAAACGATTTGAACAAAGTTTTAAATTTTAAGTTAAAAAAAATTATATATATTTCTGTTAATTAATATAAATGTTTTATTAAATATTTCTTTCTTGGATTTTCATAGTAGTGGATTTTTGACATTAAAAATTTTTCTTTATTTCTTTTTCGATATCTTTTTCATAGATTTTTGATTCAACTTAGGTTTTAGGAAAAGAAAACATTTTCCATAAAATTTATATTTTTTTGTTTTCCATATACATAGATTGTTCAAACTATTTCCTAAATTGAATATTTGTATAAAATTTAGTTTTTTTTTTAATTTCCAAATCTAAATCTGTCGAGTGCCTTGAGGATAAATTATTATTTGTTTCTATCGCTAAATCTCAGATCTGCTTTTTCCAATATTCCCAATTCCTTGTGACATACACAAAAAAAAGAGAAAAAAATGTCATTAGACAGATTTATTCGCCTAGCTGATAGCTTGGTGGAGTTTGAGGCGTCACTCAATAGCAATGAGTTCCCCGTATCCACACGTTGCCTTTTAGATGCGCACATCGGGGAAACAAAATCTACTTGGGAAAGACTTAGAGTAATATATGAACAATGTTTGGATGACTTGTCCAACAAAGAAGAGAGTGAGAAAGAGGCGGATGACGAAGCGTCAGAAATCGAGACAGTGAAACAAAAATATAGGAATTCGTATTCCACCTACTGTCGCATCATATCAAAGTTAACTGAAGCTTTAGAAAACATGTCGAACATAGTTCACAGTCCCTCTCCTAGCCTTCAACCATCTCCAAACAACCCTTTCCATTTGCCTCCAATAGAGCTTCCCACCTTCAATGGTGATTATAGGTCATGGCCTACGTTCCGCGATATGTTTTCCGCAGTTTGTATCCGCAATTCAAAGTTGTGCCCGGTAGGAAAGCTTTTCCATTTGTCGCAGAAAACTAAGGGAGAAGCTCATGAGATTGTAGCCAAAAGTCCTCTAACCAATGATGGCTTCCAGAATGCCTGGAGTAACCTGTGTGCGCCCTATGAGAACAAAAGGGTTCTTGTTAATTAGCAGCTCAAAATTCTTTTTAGCCTTCCCTCGCTTCCAACCGAAAATGCGGCATCTCTTAAAAGGATTCAAAGGGATATAAATGGTTGCATATCCACTTTGAATCTTTATAGCATTGATGTCAACAGCTGGAATCCAATCTTTATATTCTTGTGCTCCAATTGCCTTCCGGATTCAACTCTCACATTATGGGAGCAAACGTTGACCGACAAGGCTATCATTCCACAATGGTCAGAGTTGGATAGGTTTTTAACAAACCGTCATAGGACCCTAGAATCGGTTTTGGAAGTGAAGAGTTCCCATGACCCCAAACCGAACGTTCCAAAACACAAATCTTCGATATCAAAAAGCGTAAGCTCAAAAGTCAATACATTTCAGACAAATATATCCCACACTAAATGCAAACTTTGTTCGAATAAATTTCACGTCATTCGGAAATGTCCCAAGTTCCTCAATATGGAACATAGTCAGAGGATAACTGAAGTAAAAAACAGTAATTTATGCCTCAATTGTTTTTCCAGTGCTCATTTGCTTAAAAATTGCAAGAGCAAAAATTCTTGTTTCAAATGTAAGAAACGGCACAACACTTTGCTTCATAAAGACAACAACAACTCCAATTCAGTAGTACCTACAACTCCTAAAGGTTCTCAACGTTCCAACCCCAGTCCTTCTGCAGCTCCCTTTGTTCCTTTAACTCCGTCTCCAGTACAGTCCACTTCTCAATCCAGTGGTGTTATCCAAAATTGTTTTGCCACAAATTCGAAGGGGGTTTTGCTCGGAACGGCATTGGTCAAAATCATCCATTTGGATGTCGTTTATACAGCAAGGGTATTAATCGATTCCGGTTCAGAGGGAGCATTTGTATCCGAAAGGTGGTTTAATCTTCTTAAGCTACCATCTACCCGTACCTCTGCAAAAATATCCGGTCTTAACAATATCCTTGCGGCAGATGTACATAAGGAATGTCGTTTTACGATGGGTTCATTTTCTAATGCAACATTTACAATTGACATTTCTGCTCTAGTTGTTCCACATTTATCCAACAATCTTCCATCTTCTACAATACATTCAGATGATCTTTTAAAGTTGCCAGAATTAGTTTTGGCTGATCCGAAATTCTACGAGAGTTCGAAGATTGATATTCTTTTAGGTGCCGATGTCTTGCCATCGATTATGTTATCCGGTTGTAGACATGGAATATGTGGGTCATTGATGGCACAAGAAACAGTCTTTGGATGGATTTTAACCGGACCAATTGGAGGTCAAGAGAAATCTAAATCTTGTCCCACTATCCTATCATAGTTCTGTGAGATATCAATTGACCAGCAGATTTCACGTTTTTGGGAGGTGGAGAAAGTTCCACGGAAGAAGCTAGCGTCCGAATCTGAAAAATTCTGCGAAGATTTATATGAGAAAACGACAACTCGCGATCATGAGGGCAGATATGTAGTTTTTCTTCCATTTAAAGAGGGCTATTCACACACTTCGAATATAGGTAATTCCCGGAATAGTGCAATGGCGCAGTTTCTCAGGAATGAAAAACGATTGCTTCGTGATCCACAACTTAAGAAAGAATATGATGAGAATATCGCAGAATATTTGTCCTTAAAACATATGATTCCTATAAGTCCTCCTGATCCATTACATGATACGTCAGGCTTCTATTTGCCACGTCATGCGGTAGTTAAACCGGACAGTACCACAACCAAAGTCCGGGTAGTATTTAATGCATCATACCCCTCCACTAATGGTTTGAGTTTAAATGACATTCTCCATACAGGTCCTGTATTACAGAATGACCTGACCATCCTTATTCTTAATTGGCGCTTATATCGTTACGTATTTAATGGTGACAAAGGCCAAAGGATGTACCGCCAAATACGTGTCCATTCCGACCACACATCCTTTCAAAGAATATTGTTTCGAAAAACTCCAAATGATCCAGTACAAGACTACGAGCTGCAAACTGTGACATTTGGAGTGAATTGTGCTCCTTATTTAGCTATAAGGACTATGATGCAGCTAGCTAATGATATCCAATCCGATTTTCCATCGGCTTACAATATTCTAAAGTCGTCTATGTACGTAGATGATGCACTTGTAGGTGCACATGACATCTCGTCAGCTATTCAGACTAGAGATGAGTTGATCCTAGCATTACGTTCTGCGAAATTCTCAATGAGGAAGTGGACCTCAAACTCAAAGGAGATTCTACGAGATCTGCCTCCAGAAGATCTGATGCACTCAGATTTTTTAGATTTCGATGACTGCAGTTTGGCGAAAACATTAGGGATTCGTTGGAATGCCCTTTCCGATGAATTCTACTTTTATACAACATCCTTCTCTGCAGATAGTTTGTACACAAAGAGAGCCGTACTTTCACAAATTTCAAAGCTTTTCGATCCTGCGGGTTGGTTGGCTCCTGTAATTGTGTTAGCGAAGATCCTAATGCAGAAATTTTGGATGGATAAAACAGAATGGAACCATGAAATATCTGTTGAGTCACTACGTCTATGGAAAACATTCCAAAGTCATTACCCATTCATAAACCACATTCGTATCCCGAGATGGATCCAGTATGCCCCCGAGCTTGAGGTACAGTTTCATGGATTCTGTGATGCATCGGAAAAAGCCTATGCAGCGGCCATATATATTCGAGTTATATATCCCAACAAGATTTGCACTAATTTGATATCTTCCAAGACCAAGACCCCCATTAAGACTCTTTCCATCCCTAGACTAGAACTATGTGGTGCTGTCCTACTATCAGAAATGATAGCATCGATAACATCCTACCGCAATTTGACCTCCAAGACTATTCTGTATTTGGGTTTACGGATTCCTCAATAGTTTTGTCTTGGTTGGCAAAACCACCCTGTTTTTTGGAATACGTTTGTGGCAAACAGGGTATCTAAAATCATCCAAGTGCTGGACCCATCTCGGTGGTTCCATATTGAATCCGCTCACAACCCAGCTGATTTAGCAAGCAGGGGGATGTACCCTCAAGAGTTGGTAAACAGTACACTATGGTGGAAGGGACCATGTTGGTTATCCGATCCAATGGAAACGTGGCCCAGACCAACTACCAGCATAGACTACGGACTCGCATTAGAGAAAAAACAAAAACAAGTGTACTTTTCCTATTTTAAAACGTACCAGGACGTATTGGAAACTTTCTCCTGTTATTCCAGAGCCATGCGAGTTATGGCATACACATACCGATTTATTCGGGCAACTCATCCTGGACAAAAACCTTCGTATAGAAAAGAAAATTCCCATATAATATCACCATCCAAAATTTCGTAAGTCCGAAATCTACTAATAGTTTATCCAAATGAGTATTCCGCACTTTCTTTACTTTACTTTATTTGAGTTTGAACCCATTCCTGGATGCAGAGGGCCTTATGCGGGCAAGTGGCAGATTGGAAGGTGTTCCAAGCCTCTCCTATAACGAAAGACATCCAATTACAGTACCTTATAATTGTGCGTATTCCAAGCTGATTGTTTCCTTTGTCCACAACATAAGTCTCCATGGTGGAAACCAACTAGTACTTCGATTGGTTCGCAGTCAATATTGGATGCCGAAGGTTCAAAATTTAATTTAAAAAACAACTATCCATAAATGCAAACCGTGTATTTTATACAAACGCAAATGTCAAAAACAATTAATGGCTATTAATGGATCTACCAGATACACATTCGAGGAGTTTCAGACTTTGTTATCGCGAATGGAAGCCTGTCTTAATTCTAGACCTATATCCTCTATGTCGCAAAGTCCATCTGACTTAACAGCATTAACTCCTGGCCATTTCTTAATTGAAACTCCAATCTTATTACCGTTAGATCCGGAAATCCAGGAAGAACCGATATCTATACGAAATCGGTGGCAAAGGCTCAAGGCGATCCATCAGCATTTCTGTGCCAGGTGAAAGAATGAATATTTAAAGGAACTCCAGAAACGACATAAATGGAAATCTCCAGAGATTAATGTCACTGAGAATACTCTTGTGGTAGTCCGCGAAGAAAACCTGCCTCCTAATTGTTGGAGACTGGGAAGAGTTACGAAAGTATACCATGGGTCCGACAACCGAGTAAGAGTTGCTGATGTCCGCACGCAAAGAGGCGTGATAACCAGACCCATTACGAAATTAGTCATTATATCAGACAATATCCCATAACTAATTATCCTTTTATCCTAAAATTTCCTAGATTTAATTATTTCTCCTATCCTAAAATCCCTTTTCCATGTTTCTAATATTCGTCTCTTTTTCAGAAAAATGAAGTTTCACAATAGAAGAACATCAGTTTCCACTGAATGCAAGTTTGCGTGTAGAGTATGCCGGCAAAGGCATGCTCTTAAGTCATGCTCTCGTTTTCACGACTTAAACACCCTGGACCGCATGCGCGTTGTGAAGAAGTATGGCTATTGCATGAACTGCTTAGCCCATACTCACTCACAGGGGACTTGCTTCACCAAAACGGGCTGTAGGTACTGTGGCAAGGCACATCATTAACTACTCCACACCCATTCTAGACTTCAGAAAGCTTCATCTCGGGAAGCCGAGAGGAGGGTGACAGACGATAGGCATATCAGACAGGCAACTAACTCAACATCAAGTCAAGCTGTACAGTCTTTGTCCGGTTCTTCAACATCTGGTCGAGATTTACGCATTGCTCCCATTACGCCAACCACCGCATCCCTTACCTCCCTACTAAACCACAACATGGTCACTCTACTGCCAACCATTTTAGTAAGAGTCGAAAATAATGGAAAAAACCATCCGGCTAGATGCCTTCTCGATTCTGCGGCCAGAATGAGCTACGTATCCCAAAGGCTATTGGATAAGTTAGGCGTGGTATGTCTGGAACTTGACAAGGAAACAATTTTCCCCCTAACTCTATGGGCTACAGCGGAATTGTCAAGGAGTATAGATGTTACACTAAGAGTAAACCGCCGGAACGGCACCCTGACGCCAAAGAAATCGCTCCCTGACTCCATAAAG